CTCTCCTATTTCAAAAAGGGGATGGTTTTACCAAGTGGGCTCTTCTCCAACAAATGGCTCTTCATTCCTCCAGCCTCATCTGCTACTAAGCCAATGCCACATAGTTTGGGATTTCATTTCGGCAAGATCTCACTTCCTTTTACTAATTTCTGTGCCAGTCCGGGTGGACAAAGCTACCACAGATTTAAATTTCAAAATGCCCCTCTCCCATTACATAAAGTAAATGCTCCTACTTGGCTAGTCCCTTCCACGTGTGGCTCCTCTGTCCCTTCATGGTCCTTGAATGGGTCCTCTACATTTAGGTAGCCGCCTAGGAGAGAGGGAGAGCAGATGAGGGGTTCGGGGTAGACCATCAGAGCTGGACCAGAAGCCTGCTGAGTCTCCGTAGCAGGGAGGAGGGTATGGAACAGAGTCCTATACGTGTGGGTGTTCTGGTGTTAGCCAAAACACAACTACTCACATGGCCCCATCCAGAAACAGGGAGCACGGGGAGACACAGGCTTCCTGTATGGCCGGGGAGAAGGAAAAAGGAAATGGAGTGGAGATTTGGTAATGCTGAGAGTCTACCTTCACACTCTCCGCCTCCCTACTTTCTCCCCCGTGGTAGTCAGGATTCTCCACAGAAACAGAGCTCTTTATAGGAGAGATACATAGAAAGATTTATTATGAGAGGTTGGCCTATTTGTTATGGAGTTGAAGAAGTCCCACAATATGCCATCTGCAAGCGGGAGACCAAGGAAAGCCAGTGGAGTCATTCGGTCTGAGTCCGTAGGCCTGAGACCCAGGGCAGCCGCAGATCCAAGTACCGGGCTGAGTCCGTAGGCCTGAGAACCAGGGCAGCTGCAGATCCAAGACCCGGGCTGAGTCCGTAGGCCTGAGACCCAGGGCAGCCGCAGATCTAAGTCCCGGGCTGAGTCCGTAGACCTGAGACCCAGGGCAGCCGCAGATCCAAGTCCCGGGCTGAGTCCGTAGGCCTGAGACCCAGGAACAGTGATGGCCAAGGACAGGAGAAGATGGACGTCCCAGTTCAAGCAGATGCCGCACTCTTCCGTTGTCACCTGGCCCTCCTGAATGGGTAACAGGTAACGCCCACCCGTCAGGGCTAGGGTATTCTTCAGTTCATCAATTCAAATGCTAATTTCTTCTGCAAGCACCCTCACAGCCACACCTAGAAATGTTTCCCCAGCTGTCTGGGCATCCCTCAGCCTAGCCCAGTCCATGAAGAACACTGACCGTCACACGCACCTCCCTGTGACTATCACCCACCTGCTGAGCACTGCCCGTCTCTTAGGGCATGTCCGCGGCTCTGTGACAGCCTCAGTGGCCCTTTGTCCTGTCACTTGCATGGCAACGTCCTGCCCGTGGCCCTCTCTGCTGTGCCCGTGCTGTTTTCTCACGTCATGCATCTCAGGTATGGCTCCCACGGTACCAGTGAGGAAATGTTCGGCTGGGACAGACCCGGGCCTTTCCACCCCAGGTCTGCATTTTAGTACTAGACCCGTTCTGCTGCTGGCCAGAGCCCCTAAGCTGTAAGGAAAAGGGACTGTGGCCCTCCCTCTCCTGGCCCCACAGGGTGGACCAGGAAAAATCTACTGACTAATGACACACAGCACGGCGTGGCAGGCAGAGCTCTGTCCAGACAGATAAGACTGGTGTCTTCTTCCTTCTCTTTCTCACTCTCTCTCTTTTTCTCTAAGGAACATAGTGCTGGGGGCTGGACGGTGGTACAGTGTAAAACTGCTCCGTGAGGCAGTCCACGCGGGGAGGTTGTCAGCTCACGTCTAGAGACCTCCAGGAGCACGCCGAGATCTGGACTGGCTGCAGCCCGTCGAGGGCCGATCGTCTCTCTCCTACTCTCACATATGGAATACAGATGCTAACTTCAGAAAAGGAAAGATAGGGGCCAGCAGGTGGTGTGGTGGTTAGGGCGCTGGACTCCCACATGGCCGACCACGGTTCGCTTTACCAATCTCTCTCTCTCTCTGTTCCTCTCTGGTCAACATTAAAAAAATAAATCAATAAATCAATAAAGTTAAATAAAATAATTCTTTTTTTTTATGAGAGGTTTTTGCTATAGGGCGCATGTGCTCGTGAGACAGACAGAGAGAGACAGAAAGCGAGAAATCACCCCCGAGGGGGGATGGCCACACCGCAATCCCTTCTCCTCTGTTCTCCTCTCAGGATCTTGGGCACGCACGTACATGTGCCCAGCATGAGTTTTAAGCCACTGGGTCCGGGACTTGAACCACGGTCGGCTACATGGGAGTCAAGCGACATAACCATTATGCTAACTGCTGGTCCCTAGAATAATTCTTAGAAAAAAAATAAAAGAAAGGAAAGACAGAAGGAGGAGACCGTGCTGTGTGTTTTGGCTAGGGCTGAAAGAGCCCCTAAATCAGAGCTCCAGGGAAGGGGCGGCTGTCCCAGAGCCCAGTGCCTGTCACAGGCTTAGGAAGCAGAGGCCGTGGGGGAATGGCACGGGTGCACAGTGGAGGTGGAACTGAGGGGAGGGGTTTGCTTGTACTCGAGGCCCGGAGGACAGCCTCTGACCTCGGCCTCCCAGGTGTCCGCTCTGAGCTGGGCTCCGTCCTCCATGTAGACATCTAGAGTCAGGCTTCTTCATGCGAGCAGGCCCAGCTCTCTGCACCTAGGAGAGCCCAGCAGACCCCCGTGGGATCGCTCCCGTTACCACGTCCACACCGCTCCGAGAACTGATGGCCTGCTCCAGGCTTCCTTCCTCCCCACATAACCCAACACGAGTTCACGGCTGCAGAGCCCTTGCCAACACGGCACCTGAGGTTGCTGCGCGGAGCCACCCAGCGCTGCCGGGTCCTGCCGGGCGTGCCGGGCGTGCCAGCAGTGTGCACAGTCTTGTGGCTGCTGCCCTCTGCATCCATTTCATTTTGCTTAGTTTTCAGCTTGTCATAGGACACATGCTCTCACCAGGGAGAGACAGAGAAACAGAGAGAGAGAGATGGTGAGAAAGCAACCCCCAGGGGGATGGCCACACCACAGTCCCTTCTCTTCCATTCTCCTCTTGGGGTTGTGTACACGCCTGTCCAGATGCCGGGCATAGTGTTCATTCAAGCTGCCCAGTCTGGGGGCCCCGCTGCCTTAACCACTATGCCGCTGGCTGGCCCCCATTTTGCTTTTGAGAGTCTGAGTCTCTTGAGCAGGGACAGGTCTTGACAGTTATCTACCCCGGGCGTGCCGAGTAAATGGGTGTTACAGGGAAAGCCAGGGGCTGACCCTACAGCACAGTGGTTCAGGGAGTAAGAGCCCGCCTGGCTGTGATGGTTCAAGTCCTGGCCTGGTGGCATGGAAACGCGGCAGGCACCTGTGTACACACGCCCCACGTCCTGGCAGGGTGGGGTAACACGGGGAAAAGGATTGTGGCGGGACCAGGCCCACTGGGGAGGTGCCTTCTCTAGAACTGTCACGCACACCCCCTGGCGGTAAGAAAAAGAACGACTGAGTTCATCAATCAAAGAAAGCAGAGGCAGCGCTTCTGTTCCAAGCCTGCGAGGAGACTCGCCTCCAGCCCTTGAGAATTTGGGGAGAACAGCAAACGCGTAGAAGGAAGGCAGCCTGCCCTGTAAGGCCAGTGATGTGGAGTCCCAGCAGGGGCGTCGATTGGCATCAGGAGGAGCCTTCTGGGCGCCGGCACCAAGCAGAAGGCCCTGGAGGCAGAACTGCTCTCGCTGTTACCTCTCCTCATTTTCCTTTTAGAATTATTTCATTTATTTTATTTTATTTTAAATTTGACCAGAGAGATACGGGGATGAGAGTGAGTGAGAAAGGAAGCCACCAGGTCCAGGACTCAAACTGCAGTCGGCCGTGTGGGAGTCCAGCACCTTCCCACCACGCCACCTGCTGGCCCCATACCTCTTCTCTTTGTGTTCTGGCTTAAAGACTCCCCTCACTCAGAGGCTTCTTCATTACAAAAGCATTGCCAGGTTTACTGAGCACCTACTATGTGCTGGGCTCCGAGGGCTCCGTGCAGTCAGCACACGGCCCGTCCTCAGGGACTCCCGGCTAACCGGCCAGTGAGTACTCAGCTGTCCACACAGCCTGTCCACACAGTGAGGTCCTGCACAGCTGTTCAAGAAGCTTCACCTTCCTCTTCCCTTTATCCCGGAGACAAGCAGAACTTCTCCCTCTTCACTCCCTTGCTGGGGCAGGAGTCAAACCCACTTCACTTCTGGGGCTGGGTCCTTACCAGGCCAGGCTAGCAGGAAACAGGAAGCGTTGCCGAGTCTAGCGGAGAAGAAACAGAAATGCTGATACAGAGAAGAACGAGACACGCCTGCTACCCGCAGCCCTGCCCAGCACCTCCAGCACCGCAGGGCCCACTTCTGCCTCAGCAGTGTTCCCGCGGGCGCTCAGAGCCAAACGCACCTGGGTGACGCTGTCCCAGGATGCCAGCTCCCTAGGGGAATGCCTGACCCTGCTGGGCCCTTCACCTCCACTTCCACATTCCCCATGTGCTCCAGCAGAACCCGAAGGATCTGGTGGTCTGGCAATCAGAGGGGCCAGCCAGGGCATGGCGGTTCAGGCGGCTGGATCTGACAGGGCCGACTCAGTGGTTCGCGTTCCAGATCCAACAGCTTGAAAAACATGACAGGCACGTGTGTGTGCATGCGTCCCCAAACTCCCAAGAGGAGAACGGAGGAGAAGGGATGGAGTGGCCATCCTCCCTGGGGGATGTTTTCTCTCTCTCTGTCTCTCTCTCTGTCTCTCTGGTGAGTACACACACACTCTCCCAAAAAAAAAATAAAACAAAAAAAATTAAAAAGGAAAAAAGGCAATGAGATTTAGAGGGGCCTAAGGGAGCACAGAAGACCTGGGAAGCGGGAGCCGACGGGGGGCCGGATGCCCCTGGGAGGTGGCCTCGATGTGGGCGGGTGGGCAGCCCCAGGAGGACAGCAGAGCTGCTTGGTAGATCCTGAGCTGCATTCGATCCCCCATAGCGAAACCCCACAGAAAAGGGCTCTCCTCTGGCTTCCCCGAGCTCAGGGCACAGCCAAGAGGTCACCAGGGTAACTGTCAGCGTCCGACCTGTCAGCCCTGCGCTCAGAGACGGGCCCGTCGTGTCGTGAGTAGATCTGTCCGGAGACCTTTCCCTGTCCGGGCGCATCACAAGACACCAAGAGCCCGTGAGAAACACCCATGGGCGCTGTCCTGGAGAGCCAGCACCCCCATCCCCCTGGCGCCTGGAGCAACAGCTTGCATGCACCTGACTGACCCACCAGAAGCCCCCGCTCGCCCGTGGCAGGAGGCTGACTGTGGGGGTGATGCTTCGCTCCGTGGGGGAGTGCTTCCGTCACTCAGGGAAGCCTCTGTGCTCTAGGTCCTCTAAGGAAAAGCAAAACCACCGCTTTACTCCCGTGACGTGGTGGGTCAGGTGGGATTTATCTGCTGATCGAATAAACCTCTTAAAGTTCTGGGAGCTGGACTATCTCCAGTCCCGCACTCAGCACTCGAGCCCTGGCCGGGGTCTTAAACACGCAAGGCCTGCAGGGACTCGCTCAGGCCGAGACCAGGGCGACTCCCTACTTGGGGAGTGGACGGTCTCTGAGAAGTCATTCTGTCCCTTTCCTCCCCGGCCACTGCCCCCAGCCACCCGCTTTCCTCAGCCCGTCTCATTCTGTGCAAGTGCCGTCGATCCCCACTCCCGAGGGCTGCCCCAAAGCCTGGGTGCCCACGGAGGACACGCCCTCCTGCACGCAGGTGAGACCGGCTGGCTCTGAGGCACTGCCAGCACAGGTTCCCATGGGAGTGCCTAAGCTAAAAAACAAAACGAAACAAACAAACAAAAAGCCAGAAACACACAGCAAAACCCAAAGGTCGTCCAGGGCGGCGCATCCTCTATCGTCAGTGCAGACAAACCACTGGGGGATCTTGTTAAAGTGTAGATTTGGATTCACAAGGAATTCCCTGGCTGTGCTGGTGCTGTCAGGCTGCGTATCAGACTCAGAGCACCAAGCCTAAGGAACTGCGAGGCAGGCAGCTGGGACACCCCGGCAGGGCCTTCCTCCAACGTCAAGGCCGAACACAGCCCTTCCGTGAGCTTAGCCATATGTCACCAAGGGGGCCACAGCCCAGGCGAGGGGCCACAGGTCCTTAATGGAAGGTGTTCTCCAGGGGGTCAGCCCTGCTGCTCACGGAACCCAGTTCTCTACTATATAATGTGCACCCTCAGCCTCGTCTGATCTCAATTCCCTTCCCTTGGGAACCAGCAGTTAGCGTAATGGCTATGTCGCTGGACTCCCACGTAGTCGACCATGGTTCGTGTCCCGGACCCGCTGGCTTAAAACTCACACCGGGCGCGTGTGCGTGCGTGCCCAAGATCCCGAGAGGAGAATGGAGGAGAAGAGATTGCGGCGTGACCATCCCCCCTGGGGGATGATTTCTCGCTTTCTGTCTCTGTCTCTCTCTGTCTGTCTGGTGAGTGCTCGCGCCCTATAGCAAAAATCTCTCCAAAAAAAAAAATAATTCCCTTCCCTTAAAACAACTTCTGGTTGGGAAACTTTCTGTCCCCATTTTTCTGCCCTCTGCCTTCCCTCCCTGATTATCATTTCCTCAAAAAGAGAAACAGCCTTAGCAGTCTGATTAGTCAGAACTCAGACTATTCATTGGCCTTCAAAGTCCGGGTTGGCTGCACCGTTTCTCCATGCCCTGTGCAAGTCCGGGCTCTTCTTCCCTCCTTGGGGCGAGTCTGGCCATGCCCCTCTCTGTGTCCCCTCTGCACTGGGGACGGGGCACTGACTGGCCTGCTCTGCACACCCGGATACCAGAGAATCACTTGGAGACCTGGGTCTCCTCCAGTCATCTCTTCTCAAAATCGGATACCCTAGAATCACTTAGAGGCCTGGGTCTCCTCCAGTCATCTCTTCTCAAAAAGCCTTGCACTGGGGAGTACGAGGTACTCTTTTTGGTTGAAAGTGATAAAAACAAAACAAAACAATACCTGGATCATTTGTGTTAAATAATTCAAGGGACTTTACTGAATAGTCTAGAAGTAAGGCTGGCTCCGGAAGCAGACATGAGCACCTGGACCAGGGGAGAGTGCAGAGGGGGTGATAGAGAGCTGCCGATGCAGTGAAGAGCACTCTGGGGTTCTGCAAACACACCTGATGCAGAGAGCACCAGCCTGCACACGTGGGAAAGGCGCCTGGCAGGGCTGTGGGTACACAGCGCTCTAGCGCTACCTGCCGCTCACAGCTCCCTGGCCTCGGCCTCGGCCTCGGCCTCAGCCTCGCCTCCCACACTGTCTGCAGGCACCTGGATCCAGTGCTACTCCGCTCCACATCCGCTGTTTCCTCTGCCTTTAAGTCTCCCTGCCCAGCCTCCTTTGCCCCTGCAACACTGTCTTCCCCTCTAAGGCCTGGCTCGCACCCTTTGCCCATCTCAGCAGCTCCTGGGGCTCAGTCAGGCCCCGTTCTCCTACCCCTTCATCTTGCATCGTCTGCCTGGGGACCGAGCCTCGATCATCTCGTGGGCCATCACAGCTGCCTCCCCCTACACCGTCCGTACACTTAGCTCACACCTGCACCCCAAGGCTGGGTGCACGACCAGGCACCTGACTGTGAAGTAAGAGCTGAGCGAGGAATGCACCCACCACAGCTCCAAATCTCTGAGCAATACAACGGATACACGGGTATTTTCCTGTTACCTCACACAGTTGTTTTAATAAGCAAAAGAGATTATATCTACGAACACGACGTAGATGACAGGAATTCGCATGACGACTGGAATTCAGGTGGGAGAGCTTAGTAAAGCTGCCCAAGGTGGTTTCCGGTCCAAGGCCTCAGTCTCATCTCTTCCCCTTCTATACCCACGCCTCCCACCTGGACTTTTTCATTTTTTTTTTTTTTAAGTTTTCGTCATAGGGCATGTGTGCTTATGGCGGGGGTGGGGGGGCACACAGAGAGAAAGTGAGAAATCATTCCCAGGGGGATGGTCATGACACACCGGTCTCTTCTCCATTCTCTTGGGATACGGGGCACACATGCACACGCACCTGGTACACTTTTTTTTTTTTGGAGAGGATTTTGCTATAGGGCACGTGCGCTCGCCAGACAGAAAGAGACAGAGAGACAGACAGAAAGCGAGAAATCACCCCCCAGGGGGGATGGTCACGCCGCAATCCCTTCTCCTCCATTCTCCTCTTGGGATCTTGGGCACGTACGCACACGTGCCTGGCGTGAGTTTAAGCCACCGGGTCCGGGACGTGAACCACGGTCGACTACATGGGAGTCCAGTGACATAGTCATTATGCCAGCTGCTGGTCCCAACACCTGGTACACTTTTCAAACTGCTGGGTCAGGATGCAAATCATGGTCGGCCATGTGGGACCTGCTGGCTACCTGCTGGCCCCAATTCTCTGACTATGTAATATGCAAATATTCCACAGATCAGAAGCAAAGATGTTTGTTCTATGGAAACAAGATCTCAAGCTATAAAAGGAAGTGGAGAGAGAAAAGAACATATAAACTGTCGTTTTTCTTTTATTATTATTATTATTACTATTTTAGAGAGAGATTTTTGCTAGAGGATGCGCGCACTTGTTAGAGAGACAGAGAGAGAGAAAGTGAGAAATCACCCTCCGGGGGGGATGGCCATGCCCCAATCCCTTTTCCTCCATTTTCCTCCTGGGATCTTGGGCATGCACATACATGCACCCTGTGTGAGTTTCAAGCTACCGGGTCTCAGACTTGAACTGCGGTTGACTATGTTTTGGGAGTCCATTGCCCCATCTACAAAACTGTGTTGTTTTGTTCCTTTTTTTCTTTCCTTTTTTTTTTGGTACCACATTTTTTTATTTGAAGGAATGGTGAAAATTAAAGACCCTAAGTGGATATCTTGGTGCAACTTATTGGAAACACAAAAGAAACCCCAACATGCATGCCCTGCCCTAGTGACTATAGAAGTCGCCCGGTGGCTCCGGGGACATTAGCCTTGGGCTGGGCTCTGCTTATCACTGTCTCCTAGGGTGTGTTTGTCAAAGAGACACTCTGCTTGCCAGATTCCAGGGCTCCCGTCTGTGCAAGTTAGCTACATGGTCACCCAGTTGTGTTTTGTTCCTAATTATGCAGACTATTAAATCTATGCAACAAGACTATGATTAGGCCCCTACGGTCACAGGGTCATCATTTATGAAGAACAATCAAGATAGGAGATGGCATTTGGCAGAGTGGTAGTTAAGGTGCTGGACTCCCACATGGCCAACCATAGTTCGAGTCCCAGACCTGAAG